AGGAGGTAAAAAGCTCCAACCTTTATGCTTGTATGATGTAGATCTTGCCATATTAGCTTTATGAAACCATTTCTTGTCCCAAAAGTCCCAAGTTGGTGCATGTTATGATCTGGACGAAATAAGCTGTCCTTTCAGACCCTAGAAAGGGTCCTAAGTGATAAAAATGATGTTCCAATGGCTTAAAGTATCCCATGCATGTAGTAGAAAGGTCTTAATGGGTTAAGACCATGTATTAAGAGCTTTATGGACGTCCAAAGTCTTAAAGTTCGAGACTTTATGGTTCTAAGACACATTTGGTCGATGGATCTGAAATTTGGGCTTAAGTGCTTAAGCCATTAAGAACTTATTAGAGTTTTGGTAAAACTTATGTACGCCCCGCGTAAGTTCTGTACGCCCAGGGTACTGGGTCAACCACCCCGATGGTGGTCAACGCAAGGCAAAGTACGCCCAACATACCAGAGGAGTACGCCCCGCGTACGCCCACTGTTGGGCTTTTGACGAACTGGGCTTCGGGATTGGGCCGCCTTTGGACCATTTGGACTTGGGCCTTGATGGACTTTTTGATTTGATGTGTTTTGGGCCAGTTTTGGATAATGGATCTTAAAATGAGGCCCAAGTAGGGAGTTGGGCCCAATTAGGAAATTGGGCCAATAATGGGCCTTGTAGATATGGACTTAGGATTATGGATTTGGTATTGGGCCTTGGCCTAAATTAGGAAAAGACGATAATGGACAATTACCCTATGTGTGACCCTTGGTCAAGATTGATATCCTAATTGTTAACTTAGTATTTGTTATTTTGGATAGTTCGGGATTTCAATGAGACAGCAGTCAGAGACTTTTAGTCCAGTTCAACACTACTTGATAGTCGAACCGTCAAAAGAGATGGTGAACATTTCATTTTCAAGTTCAATTTCACTAAGGATCATCAGGATTAGCATTATTGAATGAGTTTTTTAAATGGTTTCTTTAAGTTGATCAACAACAATGAAACCAACGCAATACTTCTAAAAGAGTTTACACAATGCATTGTAATTTCAATGGTCAAGGTCGATAATTAGAGGAATGAATTCTCTAATTTTTGTGATACCCTAAGACTTCTGTGTAGATTGATTGGAGAAGAAAGATGTTGTGCCGATCATGATTGTCGACAATAAGTAGGATTATGTTTCAAGATGTTGATTTTAAGAAGGAAATGGAAAGAAAGAGATTAAAAGATCAGGAGTAGAGAATTGATCCAATCCTATGTAATATATTATCCCATGAATATGATCTCTCTCATTAATAATACTATATAAACATTATATGGTACTACTAAGCTATACATAAAATGACAAGACATTAGCCAAACAAGCCGAGTTATACATTAGTCTATCAATTATATTTCATTCTATACTCTATATTAGATACCACCATATTGTTTTATAAAACAAAAAAACATTATTAATAATTTACTATGTCATCAATTTTTATTATGAATCACATAGTATCCATAAGGTATTTTATTAGGTTTGGATTTATAGTTGTGCACTTGCTCAACTTAGAGCATCAGTAGTCATTGATTTCATGCATAACTTTTTTATTTTGCTATATAAAATTTTTATTAACTCTATCAAACAAAAACTTATTAACTTATAAATTATAATCTATCACCATTTATATGAAATATATTGTAAAAACCCTCATCAAAAGTTGTCATTTTTTACGCAAAGCGACATACAGTGGCGGACGAAGAAAGTTATGATAGTAGTTACATAATTTCTTTTTTCCGTTCAAATATAAAATAATAATGGCACTTATATTTAAAGATGTTGCATCTATATATTTTTTTTACACTTACAGACTAAATTGGAGTAGTGGTCCGGGACCTACCGGGCTCTACACATGTCCGCCGGTGGCACATACAATAACCAAAAATACTTATAAGACTATGACTATTTATAAAAAGGGAAAATATCGGCTATAGACATTTTTTAGGGTTGAATTCCAAAAAATAGACACAAAAAATCGGATTTCTGGGTATAGACATGGATTCCGCGGAGGTGAGCTCTGAGGGCTCCGTGGAATCTACTGTAGCTTTGCGTAATGACAAAATCGTAATTAAATCAGGGGTGTTAATGAGAAAAAAAACTTGATGAACAATTCCGCTGTAACGCCCACAGATTCGGGCTAGTAAATTTAGAGACAATAAGCGTCAAAAATGACTTTTTGATGGAAGATTATTTATAATAAATAATCTTAACCAAGTTATAGTATATGTCACAAGGGTTCCGTACATATAAAGAATGACGAAATCCGAGTTATAACGAAGAAGTTATGACCTGTCGAAGTTTCGCGACAAAACCGGCACGACACCGGGAACCGTAAAAAGTGAGTTTATGATAAAGTACTTTTTGGCCTTAGTGACCTAAACTAAATTTGTAGAGTACGTCTCCACTTACGCGTGGATATAAAGAACATCAAAAACGGAGCTCGTATGCAAGAGTTATGACCTTCCGAAGATGCAGCTGTCTGAGGGCATGACACGTGTCAGAAACCGTAGCTACCTCAAGTCCACGACGTGAACATTAAGTCCACGACATGAAAGTAGTCAAAGACACTAATAGAGGCTAGAAAACACGTGCTAAGGCTACGGGATGACTCATGGAAGTTCACGACGTGAACTTAGGTATTTCACGACGTGGAAATGTCATTCAGACACCTTTCGAAGCTAAAACGCAGATGGCAAGCCTACGAGTGATTCAACCATGCGCCACGACATGAACATTAAGTCCACGACGTGAATGGGCCTAGAACAGCCTATAAATAGCAAGTGAGACCCTTTCTCTCCTTACACCAAAACCTCTTTCCCTCTCTCGTTTGCCGAAGGCGTTCCTTATCCCGAGCCCGATGATCACGAACCGCTGACTGTTTCTAGTTAGATTCTACCAAATCACGCTACTAATGTGAGTGCATAGTTACTTTCATCTTACACATAGATATGAAATATTTAATATAAATTACGTGTTATGTGTGCATATTATTTGTGTTCTTGATATCTATGTTGGATGAACGTTTTATACATGTTTTAAATGATTTAAACTGTATATGTATTATATCTACAAATATGTTGGGTAAAACATGTGTAGATGAATTAGATGACGTGTGATGAAATAAAAATTGATGAGAGATCCCGATGTTTAAGATGATCAAGTCATCTAGCAGAGTATAGACAACGACCACAGACTATTCTAGACAGTCTAGTGGAACGTTAGCAGACTCGTAACCTGTATGTGTTTTTGAACTAGGTGTTCATTAAGTATTTTTGAACTAAGTGTTCACTAAGTATTTTTGAACTAAGTGTTCACCAGATGTTTTGAACTACGTGTTCACCAGTTGTAATCTATAAACCCTGGCATCGATGGACTTCATGCCTATTCCTTAGTACAATCCTTAGGAATGAATGAATGAATGAATGATACATGATTCTTAGGGTAGATCCTTAAGATTAAAGAAGATAATCGGGATGGGTAATTGGGTTGATTTTTTGATGATTAAACATAATAATTATATTATTGTGGGTTGAAAACCCTATGTACTCACCAGAGATTAAAAGAGATGTAGATCACTAGTGCAAATGAATGTAAGGTCTGTTTATGCTTATGTTTCTATATTAACGATGACATCCCAATTTTTTTTTATAAAACCAAAATATATTTCTTCGGAAATGCTTTGATAGTATATTTATCATGTTTTTCTGGGAACAAATTCCGCAATATTATTCTTTAAAAATGATACTCTGATTTTCAAATAAGCATAATTTTTTTTTTAAAATAACCGTGAATTTAGGGATGTCACATCCGCGGAGCTGCTAATGAGGTCCGCGGAGGCACCTCCACGGAACTGTTCATCGAGTTTTTTTTTTCATAAGTACCCAGATTAAGATCGGAGGATTATTATTCCCTCTTTTGGTCCCACTAAGTCAACATATCTTATTATTTTTTTTTTTCTTTGTAATAATTATAAAACTGATTAATATAATGATGATGTTTATCGCTTATCGATATCGGAGGATTATAATGAGATTATTCCCTATTTTGGTATAATGAGAAGGATTGTAATAATTATAACCTATACGATTAATCAGGGATATTAAAAAAAAAACTCGATGAACAGTTCCGTAGAGCTGCTAACGAGGTCCGCAGAGGCACCTCCACGAACTGTTCATCGAGGTTTTTTTTATTATTTTTTTATTTTTTGTTATTGTTTTTGTTGTTGTTGTTGCATTAATACACCTGATTTAATTACAATTTTGCCATTCCGCAGAGCTTACCTCCGTGGAATCCACGTTGATACCCGAAAATCCGATTTTTTGTATCTATTTCTTAGAAAATGTCTATAGCTAGTATTTTCCTTTATAAAAACATAATATCACAAAAAAACAACTAAAAATATATAATTTTTTCGGGACTTCTTCCCTGAAAAATACTAAAAAAAGATAATTTTAGTAAAAAAAAAAATCGCCTTCTCTCCACTCTTAAATTGGTAATAAGACGACAAAAATAGAATACTATGATTACGAAGGCAAAAGAAATCTGGTGGTTCGACCACTGAGTACGTCATACCCCACATGGAATGCTGACCTGTAAACGGTGGCAACACGTCGCCAGAGTCTTCTTTCATCGGCTCATCCAGTGAATCATACATTTCACAATTTCACACTAGGCCGCCATGTTGACGAGCTAATCGGTAAATTGTTGACTCTTGACTATCCACCACCACAGTGGGTCCCAATACACGACCCCACAACGCGATGAAAGTAATGAGAACACCAACAGATTCATGACAATTAACAAGATTGGAAATTAAACTATGAAACCCATGAATGTTTCTCCACAATTTCCCTAAAAAGAGACCTTTATCAACTTTCGATAGTTTCTAGTTCCCAAATCAAGAAAACTCTCTATTTTCGCTTCTGGGTTTTTGTTTTTCTTTCATCCTTTTTCGAATTCAAGGAAGAAAATGGTGGGTGTGTCTGCAATGGGAGTAGTGGTTCTCATCTTGCTGTCACTGTGTTGTTTGATTTCTGGAAAAGCTGCGGAATTTTCAGAGATAAGTCAACTTCTGGAGTTGAAGAACGCCATTGTTGACCATCATAACATGCTCTCAACCTGGAAATCTTCAAACCCAAATCACTGTTCCTGGTTTGGAATCACGTGCAATTCACATGGTATGGTTTCTGAGTTGAGGATACCAGGAGGTAATTTTGTTCATTCTGGTTCTTGTTTGAGTAGTAAATATTCTGATCTTGCATTGCATGGTTCTGAGATTGTGAGGGATTGTTCTTCGTTAAAGAAAGGGAGATTTTTAGGGGGGAAACTGTCGAATGTAATTGGGAAATTTTCAGAGCTTAGGGTTCTATCGTTTCCATTTAATGAATTTAGGGGTGAATTACCTAATGGGGTCTGGGGGTTAACGAAACTTGAAGTGATTGACATCGAAGGGAATTCGATTACTGCAAATTTATCTACAATCAACTTCAACAACTTGAAGAATTTGCAAGTTTTTAATCTAGGGTTCAACAAATTATTTGGAGAAATCCCTAATTCTCTCTCAGAATGTGAAGCTTTAAGCTTATTAAATCTTGCTGGAAACCAAATCGAAGGGTATGTCCCTGATTTTCTTGGTAACTTTGTGAAGTTAAAAGGGATTAATCTGTCATCAAATCAATTTATCGGATCATTACCAGATGAATTCTGGAATAATTGTCATGTTCTTGAGCACGTTGATTTTTCCAGTAACTTCTTGACAGGTAAAATCCCTAAAAGTTTTGGAAATTGCAGCAATTTGAGAACAATGTTGCTCTTTTCAAATGGATTTTCTGGTGTTCTTCCTTTCGAGCTTACAAACCTTCAAATGCTTGAAGTTCTAGATGTTTCCAGAAACAGAATCAGTGGAATTCTTGATGAAAAGCTTCCTGTTCGTTGTATGCGAGTGTTTGATGTTAGCAGAAATCTCATGTTTGGATCCATTCCTGATTTCATCAACCCTTGTCATCTAAACATTTCGCGACACTCTGATCCTGTCGCTAAATATCTCTCCCACCTCACTTATAAAACTCGAGTAGAAACCCGTCTTCCTTTTTCCCGATTTACCCCTGCCATGATCCATGATTTCAGTGACAATAATTTCACAGGTCCAATCCCATTGCTTCCTATGATATCAAGAACAGGGAAGAAGATCGATTACGCATTTCTAGCAGGTGGGAACAAGCTTTCCAGTGGTTTATTTCGCGAAAATCCGTTTAAAAAACTGTCATAATTTAAACAGGCTTTTCATAAATGTGAGCAACAACATCATATACGATAGAATTCCATCCAATGTTGGTGTAAATTGGGAATGTTTGAAGTTCTTGGATGCATCAAAGAATCAGATCGCAGGTGAAATCCCTAAAAGTCTTGTTAATCTCAGAAATTTAACAGCTCTTCTTCTCAACAACAACAAGTTATCCGGTGAAATTCCTTCGGGTTTTTTGAAAATAAAATTCAATTTTTCATTCAATAACTTATCTGGATCAATAACAATGGATCGAAATTCCATAAACTGTAAAAATTTCATTGGAAACCCATTACTCCATCGTTGCCAGCTCATTAGTTTGTCATCAGTCCCACCACAAGAACCATTGGCATTGGGTTTCGAGTCACTAAACAGTACAGTTTCATCAGATTCAAATCAAGGGAAAAAGGGTACAAATTATTTTGAGCTAATTCTGATTATAGTTCCATCTGTAATCATCATCATTCTCGTTGCTCTCCTTCTCATATATCTTTACCAGAGGAAAAAAAAACCCACCTCAGAGGTCGCCGGAGTCTCACTCCCACCACCCCGATCTCCTCCTCCTCCTCCTCCACGTTCTCCTCACCATTGTCAACAACCAGTTGTCGTTTTCAAAGAGATAGGGGTACAATTGACATTAGACAAAGTCGTTCAAGCAACCGGAAACTTCACTTCAAGAAACTGTATCGGGTCGGGTGGTTTCGGGTCGACTTATCGGGCCGAAATTTCCCCGGGAACCATCGTGGCTGTTAAAAGACTCACAGTTGAAATGTGTCAAGGGGTCCCACAATTCAATGCTGAAATCCGAAGTCTTGGAAGAATCCGACATCCAAATCTCGTGACTTTAATTGGATATTACGCAAGCCCATCCGAAATGTTCCTAAATTTACAATTATCTCCCTGGAGGAAACTTAGAAAAATTCATCCGGGAAAGACCGGCCCACGCCCTCGGATGGAATGTAATTCACAAAATCGCCCTCGGAATCGGAAACGCGCTTTCTTTTCTTCACGATCAATGTAAACCGCGAATCCTACACCGTGATGTGAAGCCGAGTAACATCTTGTTAGACGAAGAGTTCAACGCGTATTTATCGGATTTCGGGTTGGCCCGTTTGCTAGATGATTTTGAGACACATGTCACCACGGGAGTGGCCGGGACTTTCGGTTACGTGGCGCCGGAATACGCGCTGACGTGTCGGGCATCGGAAAAAGCTGATGTGTACAGCTATGGAGTGATGTTGCTTGAGTTGATTTCTGATAAGAGAGCTTTGGATTCGTCTTTTTCGAGTCAGGAGAACGGTTACACGATTGTCTCGTGGGCGTGGATGCTCCGGCGAGAGGGGCGGCCGGAGGAGGTTTTCACTGCCGGATTGTGGGAAGCGGGCCCGGAGGATGTTCTTCTTGAGTTGCTGCATTTGGGTTTGGTTTGTACTGGAGATTCTGTCACAGGGAGACCTACAATGAGACAAGTTGTTCGGAAATTGAAGCAAATTCAACCTGTTTGATTCTTCCGATTCTTGAATGTTGGCATGTAAATATTTTGAATTTTGGGGAGTAAAGTTATAATGTTAGTCGTTAGATTATAATAATACATATAATTGAATCTTGGAGTCAAAATCTGAGTAATGAAAGTCAACGTTAATTTACTGAGTTTAATTATGTAAAACCGAGAAATCATAATGACGTATGAGTATGTATGATAATAAAGAAACAAAATCCAGCAATCTGTTTGCGACACCATCAAGAAGTGTAATCTTGGGCTTTGCCGTCCGCCGATAGAAACCCTCCAAATCAGCTTTGTCTTAATCTCCACCATCCATTCTCTTCGACTTATAAAACTATCATCCGCCATAGCTGGATACCCTCAGAGCTTTAAAGAACTCAAACAAGACTGTGTCTTTACAAGTCCATTTCAATGGCGGGAAGGTTTGCTAGGACAGATACTAACAGGAGTCTTGAGACATTGCTGGATCTGGACAAATCATCAAACAAAACGAAGAAGATGATGGGCAAGCTTCCGACCCGGAAAATGGAGGCGGGTCATGGGTTGGAGTTCAGTAACCTTTCGTATAGTGTGATGAAGAAACAGAAGAAAGATGGGGTGTGGATCACTAAAGAAGCTTATCTTTTGAATGATTTGTCTGGTCAAGCCATGCGAGGTGAAATTATGGCCATCATGGGCCCTAGTGGAGCAGGAAAATCGACGTTTTTGGATGCGTTGGCTGGCCGGATTGCTCAAGGTAGTCTCGAAGGGTCCGTCCGGATTGATGGCAAGCCGGTAAGTACCTTTAAACATCATGGTTTGATTTGTCAGTGTCCCACGTTAGCTAGACACAGATACACAAGATATACATGATATATATGTTGAAGTGTACCCTGATGTTTAATTTGGTTTAGGTAACTGCGAGCTACATGAAGATGATATCATCATATGTTATGCAAGACGATCAACTTTTTGCTATGTTGACGGTTTTCGAGACGTTCATGTTTGCAGCCGAAGTTCGTCTTCCACCTTCTTTATCACGGGCCGAAAAGAAAAACCGAGTGGTCGAGCTTCTTGACCAATTGGGCTTAACCGTATGAATCTTTGATCTTTATACCAATTTGGCCCAAAACAAATTGTTTGTCTTTTGAAAAAAAAATCACGATTTTAATGAATGCAGAGCACTGCCCATACGTATATCGGTGATGAAGGGAGGAGAGGTGTTTCCGGTGGCGAAAGGCGGCGGGTTTCGATCGGAATCGACATAATTCACAAACCATCACTTTTGTTTTTAGATGAACCGACATCCGGTCTTGATTCAACTAGTGCGTTTAGTGTTGTTGAAAAAGTGAAAGATATCGCCCGTAGTGGAAGCATTATTCTTATGACGATCCATCAACCTTCGTTTAGGATCCAAATGCTTCTTGACCGAATCACAGTTCTCGCAAGGTAAACAATCTTCAATTTAATTCACAAAATTGAGTTTATTTCAATTGAAATTTAATAAATCTTTATTATTTCAGAGGGAAGTTGATATATTTAGGGAGCCCGAATGGTTTATCCGCACATCTTGAGGGATTCGAGCGACCTGTCCCGGAAAACGAGAACAATATTGAGTATCTTTTGGATGTGATCAAGGAGTATGACGAGTCCACTATCGGGCTCGACCCACTCGTGTTCTACCAACGAGACGGGCTCAAGCCCGATCAAGTAGCCCAAACTCCGGTCCCAAAAACGCCGAGAACACCTCGAACACCATACGGGAAAACTCCACAAAACCAAAAACACATACCACTACGTAGCATGAATATTTCGAGTGGCAATACTACCCCTCGTGGCAATTCCACTACATTTGACTATCATGAAAACGAGTCTGATGACGAGTTTGACAATTCTCGAGAACGTAAAGTCGCACATACGCCAATGAGTATGGTAGGTGGACCGTATCATCCACGTTTAGCTTCACAGTTCTACAAAGATTTTTCAGTCTGGTTGTACCACGGTGTGAAAGGTACTCCACACCGTGCACCATCATGGACCCCGGCTAGGGGTACACCTACCCCTGACCATAGCCACAGCCACAGCCAGATGACATCAGTATCTTCGAGCCTAAACCGCCGCCTCCCCACCAAGGCTACACCGATTTTCAGCCCGTCTTCTGATTCTTACGTATCATATGAAAACGTGTTAGAACCGGAGGTCCTTGATGAACCGGACCTTGGGTCCAAATTTGCAAACCCGTGGTTACGTGAAGTCATGGTTCTCTCATGGCGAACCGCGCTAAATGTCATTCGTACACCTGAACTATTTCTTTCACGTGAGATCGTTCTAACTGTTATGGGTCTCATCTTAGCTTCGCTTTTTGAAAACCTAAGCCATTATGACTTCAAAACAATCAATCGTCTTCTCAACTTCTACATCTTTGCGGTTTGTCTGGTTTTCTTTTCATCAAACGACGCAGTCCCAACTTTCATCCAAGAACGATTCATATTCATCCGTGAGACTTCCCACAACGCTTATCGTGCATCCTCGTATGTCATCTCTTCCCTCATCGTTTACCTCCCGTTTTTCGCGATCCAAGGGTTCACCTTCGCCGCCATCACCCAGTTCATCCTCCGGCTAAACAGTAACTTGTTCCACTTTTGGGTTATTCTTTACTCATCGCTCATCACCACAAACGCTTACGTGATGCTCGTGAGCGCTCTAGTTCCGAGTTACATCACCGGCTACGCGGTGGTCATAGCCACCACTGCTCTGTTTTTCTTGACTTGTGGGTTCTTCTTGAAGGCCTCTCACATCCCCCCTTACTGGATCTGGCTGCACTATATATCTGCGATCAAGTACCCTTTTGAGGCGTTGTTGGTGAACGAGTTTCAAGGCAGCCGATGTTACACCGGAAACTTCTCCGAGTTATCGCCGGGTCCTCTTGGCGAAGTGAAGATAAGCCAGGCTCATAAGAACGACCCCACAAAGCAAGGGCTTGATTGTTTGTTGATTGGAGAAGACGTGTTGAAATCGATGGATATAAAACTGGAGAACGTGTGGTATGATATTGGGATTTTGTTGGCTTGGGGAGTTTTGTATCGTTTGTTGTTCTATGTCGTTCTGAGATTTTATTCCAAGAACGAAAGAAAATGATCGAGCTTTTTGATGTTCGAGAGCTTCGTGTATCTTAACACGCTTAAGAACCCGTCATTTTTAAATTCAAGCTCGAGCTCAAGTTTGATGGTCGTAAGCTAAAATCAAACTCGATTAGATTGCTAAATGAAAATTTGTGTAAGCTTGAAAAAAGATGGGTTAAGAAATGTCTATTAATATCGTACTCCATAAAACAAGTTCAATTAGAAAGTTTGAATATATCAATGAAAATTGTTGATTAAAGTTTGATCAAAAAGTTTTGAAACATATATACGACTCAAGTAGGTCAAGAAGAATTCGATTCAAGATTGTAGAACTCGGGTTCGTATCTTTATATGTTCCTGAGTAGTGTGCAACAAATTAAAGGTGAATTTCAATGCTTGTGTTTGAGTTTAATGTTTACTAGAGAGTATAGATTGGCTTAGCATCTTAGATTATTTTCAAAATAAAACAGTCTAATCTATATTTGGATTCCAATTTTAGCTTTTTTCTGTTTTCCTTGTTAGAAACATTTTCGGTCTCAAATAATCTCATCGGATTCCTCTAAAATTCATTTACCCCATTAATAATCATATCAATAATAGCATGTTCAACAAATTATTTAAGCAATGTATTATTATTCGATTTCAAGTTAGTAGGAAAAGAATAGCAAATGCAAAACCTTTAGTCTCCAAAACCTTACATTTGCTAATTGTAGGTTTTGTGTATGCTACTTTGAAGCTGAATATTAATGCAAAATGCTTAAAGAATTTGCTGACTCTATTGATATAATTATTAATGGGAAAAAAATAGTCTCAAAATGCTTATTGTGGATCAAAATCTTTAAGATTGAAAATGTTTTAATAACAAAAATATGAAAATTGAAATTAAATTCTAAGCATAGACCGGAGTTTAGAACCTATTTTTCCTGTTTAATTATGAAAACAATCTAACATGCTAAGTAACATATATCATTGTTTCTCATATGCTACTATTTCATAACATCTAGCAAATAGATTTTGATATGTATTTTCTTAACAACAATTAGACACAACAACCTTCCTCTTTGTTTACAAAAAAAAATGTTTTTTTTTTTTTTGGATTTTAATATTGAAAAATATCAAAAACACCATAAACAATGAAAAACAGGAAATCATCAACCAAAACAAAAAGTTGATACAAATGAAAAACTTTTTCAATTGTGAGTTTTTTTCGAAAAATAAAATGAGTGTTTAAAAAAACGTTGAGGTTTTTTTCCGAAAAAAATATGTAAAAAGAAAAGATTACCGGTGAACCTCCTAAATGAGTCAAATCGAAATAAAAATTAAGAGTTTTTTTTGAAATAAAAAATTACTTTTGATTTAAACAGAAAAAATAAAAAAAATATATATATAAACTCTCTTATTCAATTAATTCAGTAAAACTTAATACTCTGTCAAAATGTTTACAAGAATCCACACAATATTGTCTCCAATCCAATCGACCTTTATAACACTCCTCAAATTAGGAAATACGTAGTCATTTATAAAGAAATAACCTAATGAAGTGTGGAAGCCCCAAACTCATACATAACGCAATTAACAATACTCTTACTACAATCATTAAAAGCCAATATCTTATTTAAACATCAGCATCCAATTGCTACTTCTATTAATCCATACAACTACAAGTCTTCATAAAATATCCTTTTATCTCACGATACAAGTTACTTTAAACGTTTTTTAATCGAGAGAAACATCAAAAAAAGTGCTAGGCTTAAACAAAGATAGTGAGTAATATATGAGTAATATATAGGTTGGAAAATCAGGGTTTTCCGGTTTGAACATACTTTGTGAACCTTATACATTTTCAAAATAGATAAATGGTTACATATTTGTGATATTATGATATATTTGTTTTGGTATACTATACGTCCATAATAACAACATTCGAGTTGATAAAAAATTAATCATCAAAGTTTGGTGTATGATTGAAGCGGTTGGAGAAGATGTTAATTGTTAAATGACTTTTTAGCTATCCTACATAGACGTGTGACAGAAATAAAAGTGTTTATATAAATATAAGTTTTGTAAGTTTGTAAGACTTATAAGCCTTTATATAAATATAAGTTTCTTAAGTTTGTAAGACTTATAACATCAATAGTTTGATTTTTTTTTACCAAAATCTTTCTTTTTCGTATCTGAAAATTAACGTGTTTTCAATTTTTTGAACTCCATTAAACAAAATTTAACAACTAAGAATTTTAGTTATGTTTGAGTCATTAAGGTCATTAAGGGGGTGTTTGTTTTAGTTTATCAAGAACTTATTTTCCCAGCTTATTTTCTACATTATGTTTCAAGTTATGAGCTTATTATGACTTAGGCAAAGAAAATAAGCCAAATTTATGAAAAATAAGCTAGAAAAAATAAACTTATAAAATAAGATCTTAATAAGCTAAAACAAACACCCCCTAAATACAAATTATCTACAACCATTTTTAATCGAAATGCATTGAACTCTCTTATATTTGTGTCTCTCCTACACGACGATCTATTGTACCTCATGTTATATATATATATATATATATATATATATATATATATATATATATATATATATATATATATATATATATATATATATATATATATATACTAGGTTATAACCCGTGGAAACCACGGGAGGTAAGTTAAAAAAAAGAGAAATTAAATTGCTTCCTATTTTTTATACCCAACAAATGTTTCTATCCAATAAAATTATGACAAGTGTCATTATTCTATATATTTTTAACTAACTCATTAAGACTATATTAAGAATATATCAAATAAAATTAAATTGAATTGTGATTTGTCATAATTTTAGTGGGTAGGAATAACTGTAGACATAAAAGGTAGGAGGTAATTTAATTTCTCTAAAAAAAATTTATACAACAAAAAAGTTAATAACTGTAAAAAAGCATTTAATTCTGGATGGTAAGTAAGTACAACTTTATTTGATAAGTAAAACAAACATAAGATTTTAACATATGTTTTGAAATACTTCCTTGAACACAACATTGGAAGTTTTATTAGTCAAATTATCATCCTTATCTAAATTTAATACCTTCAATCCTTCTCTATCTTACTCTCAATAAAGCAACATATAATTGACCGTGTGAGAAAACCAGTTCTCGCAAAAACAACCCAACCCTTTTCAATGATTGGCCCTGACTTTTATAACCCGTGGACACCACAGATTAGAAAGGTAAAAAAAATTATTTAAATTATAGGGTAATTATTAAGCAATGATAAATATTTTTTTAATAATTTATAAATATAAATGTTTTGTCATTAAGTTCATAATAATATAATGATTGGTTGAAATTACAAAAATATATTGGTTTGAATATCCGATCGTCAATTTGTATTTGTAGATATCTTAGATCGTTATGATTTGTAAAGTTAAAAATAAAATTAATAATTTAAAAGTAATTGTTACAGACTTCCTTTTAATGAGCTTTTATTGTGGTAAATTACTATTGTGAAAAAACAATGTTTATACCAAATATAACATTGTACTTTCTAAAAGGCATTAAATAAAAACATATTCATGTAATAGGAAGTATAATGCTATAAAGCACAATGCTATAAAATGATTGAGTATGAAAATACAATGTTATAAACTGTGTAAATGATAGTAGGAAGTTATATCTTAAAAACATAAATGTTGCATGTAAAGTGTGGATTTCAAAATAATGGTCCCTGTTATAACTTAAAAACATAAACGGTCTGTGTAAAGCCCTTATAGAAAATTGTCCCTATTTAACTATAACTTCATAAATGGTACCTTGGTAAAATATAATAGCAGAAATAGTCTTTGTTTTTACAAACAATGAAATATTAAGAAAAAACAATTTTTATACTAATAATAACGTTATACTTTCTAGAAGGAATCAAATAACTACATATTCATGTAACATGAGTAAAATGCTATAAAGTACAATGCTTTAAAATGATTGAGTATAAAAGTATTTAAGTTATAAACTGTGTAAATGAAGGTATATTGCTGTTTCGATTCACAGAAAAAAAAAGAACAAAATAAATTTTAGCATGAAATTTAATAGGTTTTTTTCAAACATCATTAAAATTTGGTTTCAAGCGGGTATACTTGCAGAAAATGTAAAAGGTTTGGATATCAAGAATCAAAGATATGTAATTTCATCATTGATAAAACATAGTGAAAAAATATAAAAAAATTGTAGTAAAATGTAGCTTAAAACTAAGTTTAAGGTATAATGTGTAAGTAATGCTATAATATAGGGCCATTAGTGTAAATAGCTTAAATTGGTCTCTTTTGTCTCCGTTTAGGAACAAGTTCAGTAAAGTTCTTTCTTTTTTTGATCTTCTCTGTAATTTCGCATACAAAACACATACATTCAAGAGTAAATTTCTTTGATTATTCTTTGTTGAATTCTTTTACATTTCTTCTTAATTGGTGGTTATGTTTCCGCAGAATGACATAACAAAAATCGATAAAAAACACTAACTTATTGTTCTTTTCATCCATTCTTCTTAGTTTTAATGGCTAATGGAAGTTATGATCAATAGGAATGAAGCTGTAGGATAACAGGGTTGAGGCACAATACCGATTGCAAATAAAAATACGAAGCAGATTCCTGGATGAAAATATATAAGTATATGAATTAATTTGAACCTGATTTATAGGGATTCATTCGAAAATTAGATTAGATGCGTGTAAGTTTTATTTTAATTTTTAATTTCCTTATCAGTTCGAGATATATTTGGTATAAGATAAAATAATTCAAATTTTTTTTGCTCATTTCCAGGGATATGGTAAAATCTGAAGATATTTGTAGAGCATATGAGATTTCAAGATCGGAGGCTTATTTTCAAGGATTTTTTAATACTACAGCATAGGATTAAATGGATTTCAATTTGAATTTCAATTATAATCGATAACATGTAATGTTGGTATGAAATCATGTAATTTTGATAATTGATATGCTGAACTGAGGGGTTTAAACGTGGAATACAACTTGTTTT